ATAAATATAAAAATCTAATTTGTATTGTAAGAAACGAACATCTTATACCATTTATCTCATCCCGTCTTTGGCGGCTGGCTTGCCTGCTTTTTGCTCTCTGCATTTTAGTTTTGTTGCACCTTAATGGATGACTTCGATTTTTATTTTTCCAAATTCAAGGTAAAGCATTTAATCCTCTAAGGCATAGATTCTTCTTTCTGACGACGGAGGAGTTACCCTAGGAAAGTTAAAGGCTGAAGCCGAAACTGTATCATTCAAGTAAACACATTTCTAAATTATGCGTTAGATACAAAAAAACACCTATAGATCTTGCTTTAAGGGATAGACTCCTTCATCTTCTATCATTTTCATCATTGGAGGACATAAAAAGCCTTCTTAAGATTGGTGTCGCTAGTGCTCTTGCTGGTAAGACCAATTTTCGTTTTTATCCTAGACATATGCTCGGCATCAACACCTTTCATTCTTTTTTCCGATGTTTTTAATACAAAAACTATTGAAGTCTGCGAGGAAATCTTTCCATTTATGGAAGAAACTATATCTGCATTGAAAGATGTAAATTTCTTATTTATCTATTTATTTTTAGATGTCGCTATTCGCATCAGGAAGAAATACTTTGCTCAGGATGTGCAATGGTATATTTAATGTCCTCACTAAATATATAGATCTTGTCCGCCGATTATCAAAGACACAGAACACCGTATTTTGTGGTCGTATACAGCTTTTTCTTTCCCGCCTTTTTCCTCTCGACGAGAAATCTGGCCTTAATCTTATGAGCAGTTTCAATACCGAAAAAGAAGTTTCCTATAATAGAAATCCCGACTCTTCCTTATTCTCTGGACAGCGCTCTACTAACGGTGTCTTGGATGATTTAGAAGAGGGCGAGATGGTTGATTTAGCGCAAAACTACGATTCAAATACTAATTTTAAAATCGTAGATTCTTCTCTCTACGTTAGCTTTTGGTCTTTGCAAGATTTCTTTAAAGTTCCGCTTGATTGCTATGACAAATCGAAATGGGTTAAATTTTCTGAGAGCGTCGAGGCTGTTCTGAAGACCTTCTCAAGCATTCGTCTTCCCGAAGCTGATGAATTTCAGAACAGATGGCGATCCCTCGGGGCAAACTTCTCTAAATATCTCACCAGCGAAAAGGTTTTTTTATACTGTTTTTATCAATAATTCTTTTAGCTTCTGGATCTCCAACTTATGGATATGAGTTTTAGACGATATATTTTGGTGCAACTTTTAATCCTCTTTCAATACCTCACTGCAACTGTAAAGTTCAAAGGGTTCGTAATTTCATTTATTGTTCACCATATTTTTCGCTTTATGTTTGGTTAACTCTTTTTTCTTTAGACCTCTACATGTTCTCTCTGATGGGCAAATCAAATGGTTATCGGAAAAAAGGGCATTGGTCCGTCATTTGTTGGCCCCAAATATTTCCTTTGATCAAAATGATGTTGATATCGCTGAATCTGCTCTTGGAAACCCTGACGCAAACGAAATCACAAAGGAGCAAACCAAAGATGCGGATCGCGGCAAGGAACGTGAACAAGCAAATAAAAACGAGCGAGAAGGGAATAAGGATAATAAAGAAAAAGATCGTAACAGACCTTCTTCTGAAGATTCAGTAGCAGGTGCTATTACTCCAAATAGTCAGAATGGTTTTTTAGCTTGCCTAGAGCATGTACTCGACAGAGAAAATGCTTGGAATCAATGGAAAAATGATGGCTGTCCATCGTTTGTACGATCTCCTGAAAAGTCATCATTGGCGCCTAGGTATGACTAAGTACCACTCACTAGCTCCTT